TGCAGAGCCGGGGGAGATGTCACCCCAGGGCTTATCGTCCTCCTTGAGCCTCCTCGGAGGACAGCGAGGCCAACCCAGGGCCCGCGCTGGGCGAAAAGGTGTGGGGTCGGGGTGCCTGGACAGGGGCTGACGGCCGGGGGTGCGGAGGACAAAGACCCGGGCTTGTCGTCAACCACCCTGCCCCTGAGCGTCGTCTCCCTGCGGGTCTCGGAGCACATCTCTCACCCCACGGGTGTTAGCAGTCAAGGCGTGATCCCAGCGTGGATGGATCACACTGGGTAACGGGGAGGAGGAAGCCCTGCGGGCCAGAGACGCCCAGATGTCCACACCACCCTTTTCTCCAGAGCTTGAACGGCCCAGCCTAAACCAGTGTCACCAGCAGCCAGCCGTATTTATAAAGCAACAAAGACAAGCAGGCAATAAACCGCCCATTCGGCTTAGTTGGTGACTAGGAACGCAAGCGGGTTTAATGAGCTGGAACGAGGGGCTGATCCACTCGGGTGCGCAGGAGAAACCTGCCACCAAGAGCAAGGGAAGGACGCCGGGCCTCCCTGGCTGAAAGGGTGGTGGGCAGCCTGCGGTCTTGGGGATGTGGGCTCCCTGGGGTGCTGTGGGTCCCTCCTCCTGGCTGGGGGTTGCATTTGGCCCCGTGAGACATCTCGTGCTGCTTGTAAATAAATCACTTGCTTGTAGAAGCCCTGAAGAAGAGCCAACCCCGCCATGCTCCCGCTGCCATTGCCTAGCAGCTGGCGTCTGTCCCAGCAGCCCGCCGAGGACACTTAGCGGAGTGTGACCAAAACCTGCCTTATCACGGTCCACCTGGGACCAGAAAAAAACTCGGGGCACGGAGGAGTTTCCCAGCAAAGCCTGGCAGCTCCCGACGCGGGAATTGCTGCCGGCTGCTCAAGCCCCTGCTCCTTTCCTGCCCATTCCAGCATATTTGCTCTTGAAGCCCATCCAGCTCTCGGGAAAGCCGTCAGAGATGTTGGCTGAGCCCCGGTGACCTGCGTGTTTCCCAGCGTGACAGCCGCGGCCGCTCACGCCTCTGCTTCTTGCGCTGTCCCACGCTTGCGCTGCTCGTGGAGATGTTCGCCCTCTCTGCCTGCTCCCCAAGGACGCTGACTTCTCTCTCAAACAGAGCCCTTGGCTTCCCTCTGGACAATCATTTACTTGCCAACAAATGTGGTTTCTTGGGAAGAAGGAGAAGGCACAAGAAAAATCATTTGAAAATTGCACTCACGTTTGGTTGGCACTTTGATCCAGATAGGGGGTTTTTAAACTTAAAAAAATCTTGCTTTATTTTGACCTTTTTCCAACATTTCTCTCCGAGTGATATTTAACGGTGAGGGCTGAAAAAAGGGCTGAGGAAACCCAGACCTAAATTAACTGTTTGATCTCCCACCATACCACCACTCTGTCCCGCCCCGGTGGAAGGTCTGTTTGCCTTTCTGCTGAGCCAGCCAAAAAAGGTTTTGTTTTGGATTGACTCAGATGCTGTGCTTTCAGGACACCCCTCAAGGACTTGCACAAGCAACGAGTCACCTCTGATGCTGAGCAGTGCCCAGAGACTCACTTGTGCTGTATGAAGGCTTCTGAGCCTCCCCATACCATCATCCTCCAGTGCCCCCTCCACCCCACGTGCCCAAAGGCTACCGTTAGTGGCTGCTGCTGCTTTGCCCTCTACTTCTGGAGAGCAAGTCAAGCTGGGCACAGGGCTCCTTGGTGGATCTCCAGGCAGTCGTCTGAGAAGGGAGGGAGCTGCAGGAAGGGAAGGGGGCAGGCTGGGGGGGGCTGGCTGTGCTTCTTGGGCGTCAAAGTCCTCAGAGGTGGCTTGGGCCTGGGCGTAGCATGACATGGGAGGTCACTGGTGCCTCCTGGGGAGGCAAATTCCTCGGTTCTCTGTCTTAACGGAAGAGAATTTGATCTGCCTCCCTTCTGCTCGCCAGTGACCTAGGCAAGCCAGCATGAGCTCCAGGGTAAATCCAGCCAGGAGCAAGGATCGCTGCCTGCTGCATGTGGGCTAGCCCAGCCTCACGTCCCTCCCCTGGAGAAGTTCTGGTATTGCCTGGTTTTGCACGGTTCTCCTCACTCCAGTGAATCCTTGGAGCTGCCAGGAGATAAAGGAGGGAAAGGCGAGGGTAAGCAGGCAGGGACTGTCAGGCCAGCGCCCGCAATGCTGTAGACGGTGGAGATGGTGCTTCCAGCTCTGCCCTCCCCTGGGCACCTCTAGACCCCCGGGGTGCTTGGCTTTGCGGTCACCTCTCGGAGCCGGCGCAGCGCCTTGGCCCAGCGTTGGCTGCGATAAGATCTGCCGAGACAGTTCGCAGTGACCCAAGGAGCCGCCATTCCCTCCTCTCCAGGACCAAGCTGCGCCGAGGCCTCCAGGCAAGAGGGAGGGATTTCTGGGTGCTTTAGATTTTGTATTTACATCTCTCAAGTATTTTTAGTGCTCGTAAAAGTGAGAAACTGGGAGAGACCCAGCTGGGACCAGTACAGTACAACCCTCACCCAGAGCCTTCCCAAGGCAACTGAGACCTGACCGCTGCCAGCCCTAGTCCCATGTCTCCAGAGCAGAAGGACAAACGTTGCTGCCCCTCTTCCCCCAGCGTCATCCCACTGGGGTTTTTTTGCAAACCTTGCCGCTCTTACGGGCACTGGACGTGATGGGCCAAATTCAGTGGTGGAGCAGGCAAGCGTTGCCTCCAGCAGGCACTGCGCTGGCTCACACCGGCGTGGAGTTTCCAACAGGGCTTTTAAGCAGCTTGATATTTGTGACTGGGGCATGGTGAAGCCTGCCCCATGCATCCTGCCACGCAGTTAGGGACCTTGTAGGATGGACGCAAAGGATTTGGTCTAACCCACCGTAGGAAGCACTCTGCCTGCATCGCTGCAGGCACGTGTGCTGGCACGGCCCCGTCAGCCTTTCCAGCGTTACCCTGGCCCTGCAAAGGAGCCTGGAGAGAAGCTGGTCCTTTAATGGGCTCTCACGGCGTGGGCAGCCAGCAGAGCATGCCGGCCCTGATGGGACTGCAGTGGCAAAGTGCTGATCTGCAGGTCGATAAGGAGGGGCAGCGCAAGGCAGTGCAGCAAGGTGAGACTATCGGGCCAGCAGAAAAGCTATTATTAGCCTTTGTCCTCAGCCTCCAGACGCAGGGGAGAGGGGCCGGGGACAGCGGGTGGGAGAGAGCTGCTGCCTCCCGGGCTGTGCAAGGGCTTTGCAAGCTGCTTTTCTGGGGAAGCTGCCATTTCAGTGAGACCATGGATTAGAAAAGCTCTGCAGTTTGGTTTCTTCTGCTAAAGGGTAACCACAGAGCATAACTGCTGGTGGCTACGCTACCAGGCCTTAGCAAGTTCCCTTGTGTTATAAAATGCTCCTCTGTGCCGCCTTTCTCAAGGTGTCTAAGAGCTGCTCTAGGGTAGGGCTGAAGACTGGTCCTGCCACGTAGCTGGCAGGAGAACATGCAACTATCAACAGTGCTTCTAGCGATTAGGGCTCAGGTATTGTTTAGGGATTTCAGCTTCTTTCTAGCTGGAGATCTCTTCTTTCCTGGTGCGTACAGCTGAGACCGCCCTGCAGAAACTATGTGTAATGGGAGACCCAAAAACTTAGTGGGTGGGCCCTGAGCAGCAACGCTCGAGGGAGCGCCCGTCCTCAGGACAACAACATCCACTTGCTTTAGGTGTTCCCAAACAAGTGACCCCACTCCAGCCAAAGCCGGCTGAAGCCCTGCTCATGCAGGGTAAAGGGCTAGGCAGGTGGGGTTCCCTTTTCCTCAGCCCCAGCATGCACAGGAGGGGAGGGGTGCTGGTCTGGCCCCTTGCCAAGCACAGCACTGGTTGGCGGCCCCGACCTCCCAGTGCTCCCCCCGGGGGCTGTGGGAAGGAGCCTGCACCCTGATGCTCTCCCATGGTCCGGCGTTCACTTGCTGTCTGGGTTCACTTGCTGTCTTACTCCCAGCTGACCCTCCCTGGTGCGTCTGGATCGCTAGCTGGTTCCTCTGCCATGCAGAAGTGCTCCTGAGCTGCATCTCCACGGCTCTTCCCCAAGCTGCCTCTGCCCTGCTGCCTGCACGGGGCCCAAATGAGGTTGGAGAATGATTTTGTGTGGCCGTCAGTCTCTTCAAGACCATCCACATCATTTTTCTGCCATCTGTCATTTTGAGAAGAAAGCAAACAAGAAAAAAATAATAAACTCAAATTATTGCCTAATCAACACAGAAATCAGCGCTGCTTGCTCAGCCTGCGGGCCACAATTAGATGCCATCAGCAAATTTGGGCAGCTTGCCTGGGCTGCAGTCTTTCATCTCTTGAAGACTGACAGGCATCTCGGGGATCTGCAGGCAGAGGAAGGAGCTGGGATCCGCTTAGAGGTCTCACACGGCCCTTTGGGGAAAGAGCACATGGTTCAAAACCACGGGAAGAAAGGAGCATTGTGTTTATGTTTATTAATTAGAGGAAGCCCCATACCAGAGGAGGGGATGTTTAGGCTGCAGCTCTGAGGTCTCCAGCCCCATCTCCAGCACCATCTCAGAGTACTGCCCTGGTTCATGCAGCCCCAGCCCGGCTTGTCTTGATGGGAGGATGCGCTGGATAAATCACTCCGGGAAGTGATGGGACATGTGTCACTTCTACATCCTTATAGATATATGGCAGCCTTGGCAGGGCCGTTGCATGTCTCTGCATGCGTGCAGGATCTTGGCATTTGGTTTGAAGCATGTATCTTCCTCTTCCTCCTGACTGCCCCACAGCGGGACCCGCGCCCAGTGACTCAGGCTGCCTTGGCAGGGATGTGGGGAGGCCCCACAGCTCATCTTCTCCTGGTCATCAGAAGGGAGCATGGCCCCTGGGCTCAGCCCCATTTGCTCCTGCTCAGAGAGAGACAGCTGCTCTGAGGAGGGGGTGAGCAGCCCCAGGCAGACCCCAGCCGCAGCCCCCAGGGCAGAGGCTCCCAGGAGGAAACGGGCCCCGGTGACAGTTTGGTGTTGCCCAAGAGGCTCTGGGAGTTGCCCTGCACAGGGTGGCAAGCCTGTCCCCGCTCACCTCCACCCTGGCTCACACGGTACGGTCAACTGTCCGGATGCACAGTGCAAAGCAAGGAGCAGGACGGTCTCACCCCGAGGCGAAGAGTCTCCTGGGGCTGTTGCTGTGCCCCGCGAGATGGGCAGGGACAGCCGAGAGCTGGAGCGAGGGGCACCCTGCCTTCACCCTCAGTGCTAGGTGGGGAAGGGTGCTTGCAGAGCCGGGGGTAGGTGGTGAGGGGAGCACCCGGTGCAGGGAGGGAGGGCGCTGGGGGCGGTGGTGGTCAGGGTGCTCCTGCAAGGGGAAGGGAAGGGGTGTGGGGCCGGGCAGAGCAGGGGGCAGGACGCCCGGGCTCCACTCCCCACTTGCACTGACCTCCACGTCTACTCGTCCCCAGGGAGGCAGGGCTCAGAGGTGCTCGAGCTGCTTGCAGAAAAGGTGCTGAGACCTGTCCCTCCTCCCAGGGAGGAAGGAGAGCGAGAGGAGCAAGCCCCGAAGCTCC